AGAAGGGCCAAATGGGTGACCCCACCTAATCAAGCACTACAACATAAATGTGTATAGCATCACAATATATGTAGCTGATCACACAGTGACATCAGTGAAGGGAATGAAAAGCAACTGAGAATGTGGATGATGATGATGATGATGATGATGATCATCATCATCATCATCATCATCATCATCATCATCATCATCATCTTAGAACTGCAGAACTAGAAGGGACCCTCTAGATCATCGAGTCCAGCCCTTCTCAAGGAGGCATAGTGGGGAAATGAACTCCCAACTTCTGCCTGTGTAGCCAAATGTGTAAACCACTGCCTATCCAACAGTTCTTTCATGATTTAGTTTAACCATAAAGGGTGCCCGTTTCAATGGCCACACTGCTTTCTCCAAAGGAGCAATACTGTCTTAGAGCAGAGTCAAATTGTGTTGCAAACATGAAGATCCATTCCCCAGTTTTTGCCAAAGCAGATACTAAGAGAGATGTCACAACACTGGAGATGAGGAAACATTGGTTCTTCAGACGTTTTGAAGGTCAGCTCCCAGACGTTCCACCCAGTATGGCCAATAGTATGAGGTGCAGTCTAGAACATCTGGCAGATCAGCAGACCTTGAACCCTACACCCACCAGCCATACCTTGAATTGCTTTGTTTCCTAGGGCTGCAACAACTGCTCAGAGCTGTGCAATATTTCCCTTATGTTGGCAAAACATTTTCCTTGTTGTGCATGGATCTTACAATGAGGATATAACAAATGTTAAGAGGCTTTATTGTCCCTGGTTAAAAAAGAGGTTTCTGTTAAAAACAATAACTGTGAACTGTTATGGGAGTGGTTGGTTGGTTGCTTGCTTGCTTTCTGGACATGAATAAAAAGAGCAGAACTTATTTTGTCAGTGATTTTTAAATGTATTTTGCACACACAAAAGTGTATCCTCCACAAAAATGTGTTTTGGCTGTTGCACAAAATGCGAGCCTTTGGCACAAAAGAAACCTGTGTGATTTCCCCTCCCCCCATCCCATCAAAAAAAGTCTTGAAATACAAAAATGCAAATCCCACCAAGAGCGAATCTTTTGTAATTTTGGGTTTTACCCAGAAGAATAAAGTAAATGAAGATTAGGTCCCTAACAAACAGTGTTTCTCCTGAGCATTGTGCTGTAGGTCACCTTCTTTAAAGTGCTTGTTGTCACATTTTTGCCAGGAGAGGTGAGCCGTTTGGTGCAAGGATAAAGGTTGAGAGACAGCCAATCATCCAGACCAGTCCCCATAGCCAGCCCAAAAAATGCAAGTCTCTAGGTTGATCTACATCATCATACTCAAGTTATCACCTCCTACAAGAAGACTATTTTTGCAAAGCTAGTGGGCCCAAACGGCTTGATTGAGGCATGTATGGAACAGTAGCTCACAACAATATAGTGTTGCTGGGAAAAAATCCATTATCCTCTGCAACTAGGTTCAGGATCTAAAAAGAAAGCTGGTGAAGAGAGGCGAATGATGTGATTGTTCTTGCTAATGAAGAAATACCAGTTTTCTGATCATATGAACATGACTGCAGTGAAGTAATGAACTGCTGGATAGCTCAGTCATTTTGGTATCTGGCTGTGGAACCAGTGGTTGGGAGATTGATTCCCCACTTTGTCGCTTGACAGGGACGGGACTTCATGATCCATAGGGGTCCCCCCCCCCACCAGCTCTGCAGTTCTAAGATTATTACTAATGTATTATAATAAAGGTGAGGCTCATGCTGGGTGCATTGTGTGTTTCATGTGGAGGAAGCTGGCACATCAAAAGGTCAAGGTTTTTGGTCCTGCGCACTCAAACCCTTGAAAGTATTCTCAAACAAGGCCCTTTTTTCCTGAGCATTCTTCCATCCCACATTTCAGTTCTTCTTTATGAGTCACAACAGTTGCTGATCGTATCTGGATCTCATATAAGGCAATTATTCTTGAGCATTCTTCCATCCCACAGTTCTTCCTTATGAGTCACAACAGTTGCTGATCGTATCTGGATCTCATATAAGGCAATTATTTATCCTTGCATCAAAGGGCAGTCTTTTGATTGAAAACGTCTTCCGTTGTTTGAAAGCACCTTCCGTTTGAAGAGCTGTTCCAATCAAGCCCTCTTGCTATGCATTTCATTGTTTTCTTTTAAAACATTGGGTCTTATAATGTTCTTGTTTGTGGTTCTTTTGTTGTTTCAAATGACTGGGAGCCACCTAGGCTCCTCTATGGGGGGAAAGTTGGCATCTAAATGAAGGCAAGCAAGCAAGCAAGCACCAAAAGAAGACAACGCAGTGGCCCGTCAGTAATAGTAGCACGGGAAGAGTAGGCTGTGTGTGGAGGTATACTGAGGTCACGTCATCACAATCCTCTCCATAATGGGGTCTTTATTTTTGTTTCATCTTATTTCTTCATGTGCATCTCTCCGCGCAAATCAACATAGTCACATTTATGCAGATCTGTGTCCACTCCTGTTTCCTCGTTTTGGTGATTAATTTCCTCTTTGCAGTCATGTAAATGTGGCCACTTTAGACCCATGTAGCTAAAATGAGGGGCCAGATCTCCAGTTCAGATTTGCCAACCTGTGCCCTTTCTTTTAAAAAATTAAGCCCTGCTTTTGGAAAAGTTCATGTCTCACAAGGTGGGCTCACAGTTCACCTTGAGAGCTCTCAGGAAGGCCAGCAGTAACCAACCTGAGACCAAATGGAAAATGCCAGCTTGGAAGGAAAAAAATTCTCTTCATAATCTTATTTTGCAATACCACCATCTAGTGGCAATATATGGATACAGCATAGTTCCTGAGGCTTCTTCAGCACCTTATGGGCCTCATAAGAAAGATTATAACATGTACACTCTAGCCGCCTAGATACGTGGGGTATAAATACAAGAAATACAATAAATAAATAATACAATAAAATGGACTGGCGTGCAATTGTTTGCCAAGATGTCTTTGGTTCTTTGTACGGTTTTGAAATAGTGGGTTTTTGCTTCTTGCCTAGTAATGCCAAAACGTCTACAGTAAGATTTGCATTCCTCATACCAATTATAACTCAGCCTAATTTCAAAAACGTTGAACACCGTTGGACTAGGAATATTTTTAAAAAGTGATTATGATAGAACTGCAGAGCTAGCAGGGATCATAGGGATCACTAAGTCTAGCCTTTATCGAAGAGGTATAGTAGGGAATTGAACTCCCAACCTTTGGGCTCTGTAGCCAGAGACCTAAACTACTGAGCTATCCAGCAGTATTCTATTCTATTCCATCGTATCGTATTATATTATATCATATTGCTTCAGTTCATTATTATAGGAGCTCTGTGATAGTTAACATGTTGTTAACATGTTTGCTCTATACTAGCCGGGATCCTCTTGGTGTTTACATAACTTGATGTGATTAATTGTGGCTAACTGATGAGGTACAGGGGCTATCCCAGGGTGCGATCAGATGGGGAAATAGCTTGCATTTTGGATCTCTTGCGTTGCGGTCCAATGCAAGCAATTCCCTGGCTTTCATGTGATGTGTGGGCCATAGCACTTCAGACCAACCCCGATCTTTTTGTTCCAGTGGCAGGGTTATTCTTTTTTGGGGGGGTTGACTGGAGTGATAAGATGCCATTCTTTCTCACAGGCTGATCAGACCTTTAGTCCTACATGTCTGTTGCCTGATTGTGCAACCAGGATGCACCCCAGAGAAGCATAGCTTTTTCCAGATGCACATTTTGCATCCAACTGCAGGCTTTTAAAACAAACAAACAAAACATCTGGCACCTGGGCCCAAGTTGCAACATTTTACAAGGGCAATGGTTCCCAAGCTTGGGCCCCCCTGATGTTCTTGGACTAAAGTTCCCAGAAGCCTTCACCACGGGCTGTGCTGGCCAGGATTTTTGGGAGCTGAAGTCCAAGAACATCTGGGCACACAAGCTGGGGAACCAGTGCCCTAGGGAGATGGGATGGTCCTCCTCACTCAATTCATCACTCAGTTGTATGGAAAGTGCAAACAGGTAGTCAGGAAAATATAGGATGAGCACAAGGAGGCTGGAAGGTTTGCCACTTGTGGATGCTACTGGGATGTGGGCATTACCAATTGGTCCAAGATAGCAATGCCCTCAGCCCTTTTGGCTGAAGAATTGTGAGCATTGTGGCAAACAACAACAACACCTCAACTTTTTAAAGTGTTGGTTGAAGAATGGTGAGCATTGTGGCAAACAACAACAACAACAACACCTCAACTTTTTAAAGTTCTACCTATTCCTGACATTACCCTGAAAGTGGCTCAGTTGTTGGGGCTTTAGGCAAACATCAGAGGAAGGGGAAACTCCTGCCTTCCTGCCCAGCATATAGAGAAGTGCTTCTGAGCGTTGGGTCCCCAGATGTTATTGGACTACAGTTCCCAGAAATCCTGGCCAGCACAGCTAATGGTGAAGGTTTCAGGGAATTCTAGTCCAAGAACATCTGGGGACCGAAGGATGGGAACCATTGATGAAGACACTTTCTGGGAACATGTGGCTGGTCACTTCGGGCATCAGGATTTTGGACTACGCTGTTGTTTTGGTCTGATCCCAACTGTTCTTCTGAGCCCACTCTAAAGCAAAATCAGAAATTTTAATAAATAAGCTTGTTAAAGTTGTTCAGGATTTTTCTACCTAGTGCTCTCCAGACATGTTGATCTAAACCCCCATGGTTGCAAACAACCATAGCCAATAGCAATACTGACAAGGAAAGGTGGGATTGGTGGCCCAAGAAATATGGCGGTCACCAGATTAGAGTGACGCTGGTGGAATTTGTGTGTACGCAATGTACTGAACTTTGGGACTCCACTGTGAACCGGTTACCATTCTTATTCAGTTGAACAGAGCCATCGTTTTTAAATAATGCACGATTTCTGTTATGCCAACATTTTTCCAAAGTGTTGATTTGACTTTCCTCAATGAGGTAGGAAGAGGTCACAATGACTTTCCAGGAATATTGTATTTCTAATGGTAATCTTGTCCCTTCCATCTGCACAGAAATACAGACGTACACACAGTGGCCTCTCTTTTGAAATTATTTCTGAGGGAGCTCCCGGAGCCGGTCATCCCATACTCCAAATATGAGGATTTTCTTGCCTGTGCCAAACTGCTGAGCAAAGAAGAGGAAACGGTGAGTTTGCTTTCTTGATTCTGGAAACCCAAATGACCAGCTGCTTTGTAGAATCTTATCTGGGGTTTTTGATCTCATTAAGATCATACTTCGCTGTTTCTGGACTGGATGTTTTTGTACTATATGTTAGAAAGAGAGATGAAAATTTTGGGAAAAAGAATTTTTTTTTTTTGGACTATATACCTTCCAGAATTCCCCAATTGCAGGATTTGTGTTTTGTCCCAAAACCAACCAAACAACCCTTCACCAAACTCTATACAGGATTGTGTCTTTGACAATGTTGACTGCTATTAATGGTGACAGCCTTTGTAGCTTTAAAACTGATGCTTTAAACCAGATCCCTTTAGGTAGTAATAGCCGGAACTGAACCCGGGGTCTTCTGAATGCAGTGTATGCATTGTATCACTCAACTGTGACTTTCCCCTGTATGTATATGGAATGTATCTGCCTTTTATGAAGATGCTGCCATTCTTACTAGGCATGGAATTTTCAGACTTCATGAACTACATCCCCCAGAAGTCTGCAGGAATTCCCCCACCCAGATATCCGGGAGCTCTAACTACACCCCCCAGAAGTCTGCAGGAATTTCCCCCACCCAGATATCCGGGAGCTCTAATCTTAAATTGCAGGGGATTGTGAATGTTCTTGGGAGGGGTATTGTGGGTAATTAAAATGGCATCAACCTCCTGCAAATTGCAGGAATGTCGCTGCCAACTAGATCCAATTCAGGGCCCCAAAAGAAGTGTACCAGGAGATGCAGGGCTAAGGAGCCCCTCAAATGTGCAGTCTGCTCTGGTCTGTGGCCATAGGATTCTTGGCAAAACTTGGAAATATTAATTTTGGGGGACATGCTTTCAGAGTACACCCAAGGACTGAACACAGTTAGCATTGTTCTACTACCAACCTGGAAACCTAGCAGCTGTAATTTGTTTTCTTATGCTATAAAGCAGTTAACAGTCATTGATTGCAATCTTTACACAGAGAATTTTTAAAGGGTTTTTTAGTATGGATCTTTGTGTTTTGTTCCCTTTTTCTCATTTTTCTAATAATGCTGTCAAAGTGTGGGTTTTGCTTTACGATTTGTTTATTTTTGCCGTTTTCACACAGGGGCTGAATGAATTGGTGAAACAAGTGAAGAGTTTGCCACTTGTCAACTTCAACCTGTTGAAGTACATTTGCAGGTAAATTAGCCCAGGAAGGATCAAAGGATAATTTTTGCATTCCCAAAGGAATCATTTGGGGGTTGTGGTGAGCAGGGAGAGGTTAGCTGTATAGATCTGATCCAAAAGCCTTGTGCCACCTTAAATTCAAACAGATTTTCTTTGGCATGTAGCCCTAATCAGGATCAGTCCCCCTTCATCTGGTTTGCCTGTCAGAGTGTCTCTCCCCAATGTCATCTACCCGGCCCACCAGATCGTCCCAGGCTATGCTCCTCTGCGTATCCCCCCCCCAAGGGAGGTCCATAAGTCATCTACAAGAGATCAGGCCTTCCTTGTGGTGGCACCAACTTTGTGGAGCCAGCTCCCAGTGGGGCTACACCTGCCCCCCTCCCTGTTAATGTTTAGAAAGCAACTTAAAATACTGCTTTTCAGGGATGCCTTCCATACTGACCCTGCTTGGTTTTACACCTCTTGTTCTGCTATCTCATCAAGAACCTGCATTTGGTGCCAGGTGTTTTATCTCCAAAATGTTTTTAACTTCTCAGTATGTATTAGTAGTCTAATATCTATGTGTTTTA